GGATTTTACAGTAAAAAATAAAATGGTTAATTTTGCAAAACACAATTTTATAATTAAATATTCCATACTATGTTTCAACCACTTGAGTTCAATACTATTTTAACCCACATAAATAAGTAGACTACATTGTAAATTTTGAAAATCATAAAACTAATTGAAGCTCTTTGATTGTTTATGCAAGATGTTTGGCATCCTGATGCGATCCTCAAGCTACTGTGTTCATAATCTAAAGGATTTTTTTTCCTTTCTGATGATACTATTTTATTCTCGACAGTCTTATATACATATATTAAAGATTAATTTGGCTGAAACAATGATACTTGATAGTTCTTGTAAGAAGACCTGGTATACTGGTTGAACACAGCAACTGAGACAAATAACTCAGAAATGTGAAGAAAAATTTGGGATTAATGCAAAGGTTACAAATAATACACTTGAGAAGAAGCTTCCACCAACAAGAAATTTAAGCACCTAAACACATTAACCTGAGAATGCTTGCAACAATCACCAAAGAATTCAACAGTCCAGCAATGCACTTTCATGCATGGAAGAGTAGCAATGATATTCATAGTTTCATGCAAGCACACAATTTCTCATTCGCTTACAAAAAATATGCTTACATTATGATAGGAAAATTGCTTAAAAAATAAAACAAAATTTAAAAAAAAGTGCAATTGTTGAAAAGCAGGCCACAAGAACATGCATACAACGAGAATGAAAAAATCTCATCAGATCTTTCTTATAGAGTCCAGAAATCCCTTTTTGTTTATTAGAAATACGTACATAATATCCATGAATGTACACTGAATCCTAACATTCATTTTAATTCAAAACAGTAACGACACTATTTGCAACCTGCATATGGGCAAATGATAATTTAGCTATAAGCACAAACGAGCACAGGAAATGAAAAGCCATCACTCTTTAACTTTTTGAACATCATTGAAAAGAAAAAAACCTGATATTTACAACACATTCATCTAAAAATTTAATATCATTATTCAAAGGAATTGATAAAAAAAAAAGCACAACAATTCTGCAATGTGAGACTTTATTAGATATTACACTTGTAAGTGCATTAAGGATGTGAAAAAGAATTGTGGGAGGGATTGCAGGAATATTGAAGGGTTTTCTGGTCTGAGAGAGAAAAATTCAAAAAAAAAGGAAGTTTAATGTGAGAACTCCTGCATCATTTTAAAAGCATGCATTTACAATATCTTCATAATTATTTCTCAACTTTGTTTGAGTAGTGACCAATAAGCCTTAGAACATTATCATGAATGTTCACATGGCCAGCCAATATGTATTAAGAAGTATTCATGCACTTTAATGAAATTATTAAGCATTATTGTCTGTAGTGAATTTGCATCTACCATTTTCAAGATATAATTTTTCAAGAGAGCATGAAGCAACTACAGTACATCTACCGAATAAAATAAAATATTTTTGTCATTGCTGTTATGGGAAACATGATATATAAATATAAAAATTTGTCATATTTCTGCATAGTGGACATCTCATTACTGAATGTAGTCAACGCAATGTCTTTCATGCTTCCAGAATCTTTTGTTTATTTTTTTCAATGTAGATCCTTACAATTGTGCAAACTTGTGAAAAGAAGATATCTACAATGAAGGCTAGCCTTTTTCTCTACAAATAAATTAAATCAATTAACATGTATCTTGTCATGCATTACTGATGTTATAGGGTTTTCGATAAACTGATAAATGATTTTAAATCAGTCATCACAGAGAAAAAGAAATTCATGAAATGTTCATATGCTTTGCGTGTATCAGTATATAATTTGAACAGGACACTACACCAGCTTAAAAAGCAGCAAAAGTAAAAACATATGTACAAAATTAAATAACTATCAATATTACAATAAATTCGCATGAATTCAACTATAATCTACATTTAGCAGCATGAACAATCTAGTTGCATTTTTAAACATGAAAGGAGTAAATGTTATGGTAAGGCTCCTGGTTTGGAAGAGATCATCTCTTGAGAGCAACAGGATCTTGAATGAAGACAAGGTTGATGTAAAGGAGTAAGTACTTTAGAGAAATTCAGTAAATAGTCCCTTGTCCTAAAACATACTATTAGTCATTTCAATGTTTAGTTCAGAAACATAATTAAGTAAAAACTAAATATAATCACAAACTTTTATTTTAAAATAAAAGTTTGAGATATTATGAAGAATATGAAGAAAGAGAATAATCAACATCAATTTAACAAAGGACTATTCTATATATACAAATATATTTGTTTAGGAGTTAAAGATGGTGTCAATGCAATGTATCTAAATTGTCACACAAAAATGTGTGTGCTGTGTGTATCTGACTGAAAAAAAAAAGAAAGAAAAAAAAAGATATAGATACTGACCATATGAATGATCACACTGTTCATGACAAATAACATATTACTACAAGTAAATATCTTCAGATACAGGCAGCACTTAATGTTTGTATTAAAGTAACCTTGCAAGGGAAACACATACATTATGATACATAATGAGAACAATATTTATAGTAAACATCTACAGCAAACGTAGTAAGACGTTCATATGAATTAGATCATATCTCAAGCAAGTAAATGAACACCAGAAACTAGGAATTAAGAAAAATGTGGAAAAATGTGCAAATTCAAATTACCTTGAATGACTTCAGAGGATAGTCAAGATACCCAAATATGAAAAGAAAAATAAAAAGGAATTATTTAGTTGTATTGTGCTTGAATGGTAACAGTTGATGATGCTGATAAAATGTAGTGCTAGAACAAAAGTGATTAGTACACAGTATGGGTGTGTGGAGATCTGCCATGAAACAGAGAAAGCTCACTCAACAAAAATGCCACTCACCCTGGGGAAGGAATGAGGCTTCCAAATAAGGAAATGAAGATGCACAGGAAAACATGGGGAATGGCATCCTATTGTGTTTGAAAAGGGGAGGGAATGAATAAATGAATAAATAAAATAAATAAAATTAAAAAAAAAAAAACAACATTTTTGTAATTATTTCAGTTTCTGGGATCACCCATCAATATGGAATACTAGCCTGATCATTTTATATCTCCCCAATAATTTGTCTTCTTACATTTATTGTACATTTTAATATGAAGAACATTAAATACAGAGTGGTGCAAAAGTGACTGGACACTGATGTAAACTAGATTGCATTTATTACAAATACAAACAATACTTACAATTATTTTTTTATGTTCAAAGTGTTCTCCATCTTCATTACTACATCTTTCAAGACTTTCCGGAACACTGGTTGTACTCAATGGCAATGTGTGGTAACACTGTCCAAATCATGAAATGCATAGTGTACGTAGTCCTTTAGTTCAGCAATAGTCGGAGGATTTTGAGAATAAACATGGTCTTTGACAATACCCCAATCGGAAAAATTCATGGGCGTGGTATTTGATGAATGTGGAAGTATGTCAATATCTGCCAACCAATCATTTCTCTTTGGAATGTTTCGCTTCAATAATTGCAGACTGCAGTGGCATAATGTGGTGGGCTATAACCACTGCACTATATCTTGCTGTAAGTTATTTTGTTTTCTTTTAACTAACTGTCCAGTGACTTTTGTGCCGGACCAAATATTGCAAAAATAATTCAAATATAGGGCACAGTTTTGTAAATTAATATATTTAAACATATCTAATAAATAGATTAGTACACCCGGCACAATTTTACACTGAATAGTAAACTTTGAACTGTTGTGAATGTAATTCAGTATGTTTCATTAATGACATAGCTATTATTAATTTTATTACAGTATTAAATTCAAATTATTGAAAAATAAAGATGAAGGAAGCAATTCCAGAAACTGAACATGTAAGATATTCCAAATAATGCATCAATAATGCTTGCTTAGGTTGCTTAGCATGCTACATTCATGACTTAGGCATTCTCTGTCCTTAGGCCTGTGTCCACACACACCACCTGGATATGTGCATGTATTGGTCATCGAACCATCGAGGATGAAAGTTTATAAATGTCATTTGTTTTTCTTTTAATGCGCATCTTTAAAATTTAGTACAGAATCACCTTCCAATTGTAGTTCCTAAAAGTTTTATTACTACCTCTAATACATTTTAAATGTACGATTTATTACAACTTTCATTAGTTGCAAATTAAGAAAAGGCTAAAATAATGTATTTAACTGCCTTAAAGGGGTTGAAAAAGATGGTGAGAATTCCTCCATGGCTGATGATCATGTAAAATAAGGTACATGAAGCATTGTTCTCCTTGTAAACTGTTTTCAGACTGTACATTTGAGTTCTGGTAAGTGAGAAACACGTGAATGCACTGTCTCACAGTATAGCATGAGTCTTTGATTTGTACTGTCTGATTGACTGGCTTGATTGATTGATTGATTGATTGACAGTTTGTAAGTAAACTGACTGCTCTGAATGAGGCTTATGTAGATGTCTGTTTTTGAGAAAGTTGGTTCAAAAATAATGAAGAGGTAAATCTAACAACCTACAGGCAGCCAGGTTATAGATTCTTCAAGATTGCACTAGCCAGGCACTTAAAAATTATTATTATTATTATTATAAGTTCTACACACATGTACTTTTAATTCCGTTCATTCCATAAAGTTTTTGTGTAGAAGCACGCAACTCCAATTAAAATGTTACATGAGTTTTAGACATACCTTTATTAAACGATAAATAACTTAAAATAAATTATTAACAATTAAAACTTGCCGTACCTAACAAAAACCATTATAAACATTAATATTCTTCGTTTCAAATTCAATTATGAGGAGCAAAAAATGGGGGTGAGTGAGAGTTAGTTGACCCTTGCATGCAGAGGTAATATTTGTATGAGGAATGTAGAAAGCAAGAGGATAACTAAACTTGAAACCAATGTTTTATAAAGCGATCCACCAAGTCGTTGCAGTTGCGAGCTTCCGATTCAGTTCAAATCAATTCACTTGGGCGGAGGGGCACCACGGGGCGTAGAGCCAGCGCGTGGCCAGACTCACCTCCAGGAACTGCTTCACAGTGTTGTCCACCACCATCAGCGGCCGGTGGATGAGGTGCACCACCCCGTTCTTCACAGGGATGTTGGGGTGCACGATCTCGGCCATGACGACGCCGTTGCCGTGGCTCTTGTCTCCCAGGATGGTGTCGCTCTTCACGTAGACTGTGGGCACGCGATATGCCGCGCACAGTGCAAGTGGGGGTTATGTACTCTGTGGGGTCCGCGCACCTTTAGCGAAACAAGCGCCTGCGCAAGGCAGTTGTGCGCCGCCCATCGCTACAATTGCCCTAATAACTAGACTACAACGGATAGCACATTGTAAATTGCAAGCGCTTTTTGAAAATGCCACGGAAAATGTTTTCTGCAGTATAACGGGGTACTGCAAACACCATACTGACAAACAAAATGAACATTTATTTCAACAATGACATTTAATGCATTTGTATAGTAAAAGTGTAAGATACTAAATATGTCTGTAAATATATGTACTTCAGTTCCTTCAGGGCAATCACTTCCATCTCGAGCACTTCTCGCCCAGTTTACCTGATCCACTGACCAACTGCTTATGTACCCCCTAGTTTTGCTACTTATCGTAAATGAAACGTCACTGTGCACACGTTTGGTTGAGCTCCTTTTTATTTTTTCGCATTTTGGTTACGGAATGTACAGAAAGAATTACGCGCGAGAAAAAACTGCAATTTTTCGACAGAAAAACACTTATTGCCGGGTCTTGGAAACGAAAAAATTGATAAATCTTGTTTCTATGTCTACTAAATTACTTCTAATACGTTTTGTAGTCAGAATCTACGTTTGGTGGTTCTTTGATACCCAAAAATCGATTAAAAGTAAAAGGTCTGTCCTTGTGAACAACGCTAGCGGTAAAATAATCAACAGAATTTTCACCAAAAATTAATATTCTTCGATCGATCTGACTGGTGTTGTGGCCCCTTGAATTTGAAATTCATATTTTATTTTTTTTTCCTTTTGGGGAGGGGGTTACTACACATCAAACCTTGATAACATAGTCAAACTTTCCCCAAAATAGCTTCAATTTTTTTAAACTCTATCTCTGGCGTCCATTACGCTATCTGTAAAGAATATTAATGAAAAAATGTTGGGCCAATTTCGAGAAACTTTTTGATTGTTATTGAGGCTGAATATAAAGTAGGTACCCTCCAAAATCAAAATATCCTTTTCAAACTCGCAGGACCTCAAGTTCGAAATAATCTGAACGATTTAGGCACTAGCATTGACCATAGACTTGTAGAGAGACGAACAGACAGAGACGCACGTTTTGCTGACAATCGACTTTTATGTATCAAGGACCCACAAAATATGGATACTGACTACACAAGTGTTAGAGGAATTTACAACTTAGAAACAATATTCATCCACTTTTTAGTGCCAGGGACCGGCAATGAGAGTTTTTCTGTAGAAATATTCCATTCCCGGTTCAAGATTACAATACTTCATCTTCTTATCAAGTGAGGCGATAATGACAAACCAAATTACTCATACTAGAAGCCGACGATGAAGGTAGTAGCTCTGAACAGCCTTAGAACAAGGTACTCTGGCGTTTCATAAAAATCCAATTATACTTCGGCTTACAACGGACGATTCCTTATTTGCTTTGGCAATAGCGACCGCACTGTTGTGATACAAATTTAAGTGATGATTGGTAATCAGTCCTAGCTTTTATGTTAACGACTTGCTTATGTTTATGTTGCATTGTGAATGGGCCTTTCCCCAGTCTGCCTTGGCCTGCTTAAACCCACCCCTGCCCCTTGCCACCGACCTCGCCTTGTGCTGCGGTGCCTGACCGCGATACCCGCGTTACCGCCACGTTGAGCGTGATATCCACGTTTCAAAAAAAATTCATATCATTAATGTTCATATAATGTAAACAAAAATGAAAACTACGTACAGACATCCGGGACTTCCAGTTTTCAAATGACACCTTATTTGCAGCGGTTGACTGGGTAGTACATCCGGAAAAGGGATGTGTACATAACACGTTTTAGAAATAATATAAACTAGCAAAATGTCTAACAAAACGCTAAATCTATGAACTGTTTTAAAAATAGTTACGTGTGTTGAAAATTTTGTACACACTTTTTTTTCATGCCCAGCTTTGTTTAATTATGTTCTCTCAGCATTCGGTATTGGACCTACCAATGAATCGTAGTACTTGATAAGGTTATACTCCGTTCAAAAGTTGCCAACACCCAATGGCCTTGTGTGTTACCTCCATACGGGATATGAACTGGTTTTATTGCAATTTTAAAATTATAATCGTCATAACAAATTCTTACAGGTTTAGATGTTAATAGTTAAATTTTAGAATAGCTACTACATTTTTACGTTTTTTTTTTTTTTTTTTGTTTTTTGTTTTTTGTAATATGCACAAAAATGCACATAGCACATTTGAATTAGCACAAATGCTACATGCAAAAATGCAGATCATTCCAATTAGTTCCGAAAATTCTACCGTAACATCTTTTCAACTACATTTGATTCTTTCCCGGATTTTCTTAAAACTTCCACATTTTTCTCCCCTAATTTTTGAAGAGATTAAAACTTTACAAACTTCTGGAACTTGTGCTGCTACTTCTGCAACTGATCAATGCAAACAAACTGATACTTCTGCAACTGCTTTATTAATCGTTTTGTATGCAAATCTAGCGTTGCATGCAAATCTAACATGGAAAGATGAGTGTTTTGTATGTTTATGCAAATAAGATGATAGTTAATTTGAATAAGTTGTGGGCCACATTGATTTGAAAATAGGTATTTGCACACTTATGTAAGAGCGTAAAAGTGCAAAGTCGAACATAACGTTCATTCATTCTCTAGCATTACTCACTGTTTCCTCCATATTCACTAGAAATTCTTCAAGTTCAATAAGTTCCAAGGCAATACTGTTCGTAAATATTAATAAATTTATTTTTTTAAATACGATAATATTTCGATTCTAAATTGAAATCAAACTGCAGCGCGATTTATTTGTTCAATTCAATTGTTCACTTAAAGATGTCAACATCAGTTTTGCCAACGCCGTAACAAATTACTGTGTATTAAACAAAAAATGCCTTTGGGTTCCGGTATTTAATCAACGCCACCTGCATAGATCGATTTAGGAGGCGTTGGTTTAATTCGTAGATTATCACTGAAATCGCAGCGCCAAAGTACGAAAAAACACGTTTTTGGAACTCTCTCTAAATCTTCTAGCGGGATCCGAAAATAAATTTTTGGTTCGCCATCAGGAGAGCAAGACGAGTCGAATGACCTCATACGTCTTGATTGGTGCACGGATAATGGTCTAGACGTCAGAGACGAAATGGCAAAACTCACATCTGCTCATCTGAACGTCCACACACTCAAGTGTTTTACTGAAATACTGTATAGTGGGGGAGAACCCGGTTAAAGCGCGAGAAGTTTACAATGACAAATTATTTTACTTATCAGGATATTTATTTACCATATTCATCTGTTCAGACAGGAAAAGGAAAGCATTCTCTCTCCCTAGTCTGGCCTGGCGTGGCCTTCTTTGCTTTGAGTTGGCCTGCCATTCACCGAATTGCCCAAATCTACCATGCTCTTTGCCTCCGTCCTGTTCTGCTCGTCTGTCCCCGATAGTATCTGACTTACCGTCAGGTCGTTCGCGAGGTAATTTCAAAAACAAAATATTAATTTTTCGTATTATTGTTTTGGTAACATTCACAAAAATGTAAACTACACGCGCAGTCACCGGGGACTTCTAGCTCTCAAATGACACCTTATTTGCTAAGATTGAATAGTTCGTCCGGATGAGGGCTGTTAACGTAGACTATTCCACTCGTGAAATCAAAAAGAATAGGGTTTACCTATACACATAAAATGTTCCAATCAGGGCGGGAATTTAAAAAAAGTATCGCTTTTTTATCCTATTTTTCTTACCTCCCCTCCCTACTGGCCAATAACACGCTGCGACTCATCTCGCTTACCAGGCGGTCGATTACAATGTTGATGTGCAATAAACCGCGTAGGTAATATAATATAATGCCTATGATTTTAACATGCTTTCAGTTATTTTCAATGTTTGGGGCATTTTGGAACTGTGTTGGACGTAATTTCATTCGTGGAATAGCCCTATTAAATACAAACGCATGCTTTGGATATTCTCAGATAAATCCCCTCCTCGTGAGTCGGGGATTTATCGACAATTTCCAAAGCACTCGAGGTATTACCACCGAGCTAGAATATACTACATAGAGTGGCCGAAGCTACTTCATCTTCGCAGCAAATAGAAGACATGATTTTGCAGTCAAAGCAGCGTACTCCGGAAAAAGTGTTCTGGTATTCCGTTTGATACTGTTTAAGGTCGGGTGGGCGCGGACCGTGCGAAATATAAATCCTCTTACTCCTTGTTTCACGATCCAAAAACTATCTTTTGAAAACTAAATCACAATACTGAAGTAGAACGAATTGAGAAATTTAAAAACACGTTGTTGCTTCCTGCATCGGTTATTGCCAACGGTTATTGGAATCTGTTAGAACGTTATTGTAGTTATCATTATGCCTGATCTTATTCCCATAAGAAGCAAACAAACAAACAAACAAACAAACAGATCACAAATAAGGCAGCAAACTTGAAAAATGTTATATTTGTCGTTTGATTACTTCTAATATTACAGTTATATGCCGAACATATTGAAGGCATTGTGAATAACTACTAATATAATTTAAATTCAAATAACCGAAAAGACAACACTATAGAAATAAGTTCGGATACAAGCAACCCGTCGATTCAGTACAACAGGTCTACACGCCACCATCGGGCACCTCTCATTTTTTGTCTGCAAAAAACTTGGCGACCGCTAGTTCGTCGAGTGTCCACCAAGAGCGCTGAGACCACAAACGATCAGCCATGTACGTAGTATATTCTATTACATCCACACGTTTTCTTGAGCCCCGGGATATCTACCCCCACTCCTTTCCCAACATTACTTGAATTAAGAATAAATTATAGCAACGAGCGTTGTAGACAAAATCTGGTAAAGAGACATGTTCGCTCCCGTGTATTAGAAACTATTTTGTATGGAAAAATAAACTACAAATTCGACGTAAAATTCCGTTTGTCTAAATAACCAAACTCCCCACTCCTCTCGTACCTAGCGAAGCGAGGGCTCAAGAAAACGTGCGCGGATTATAGGTAGCTCGTTGCAGGGCCGGATTTACGTACAAGCAAAACAAGCAGTTGCTTGGGGGACCCATTCACCAGGGGCCCCGCGTTTCGGAAAAACACGCCTACCATATTTTTTTGTCTGTGAAATAATTGTTAATCAAGTAGTCTACTATGTAACAAAATGTACAATTTCAAAACATCTTTTTAAAAATGAGTATGGAGCATGATAAGATGAGAAATCTGCGTTTTGAAGGCGACATCGACCAATTTTCTGCAGTAAAGAGCAGAAAAAAAAACATGTGTATTTAATGTAAAAAAATGTAACACAAGTAAAAATTCCTATAAAAGATTATCAGTTCTCATTTGTATCTGTACAGAAGGTACTTGTACTATAATACATGTTTTAGTTAATAAAGATGGAGCTATTTTTTCGG